AAAGATATCCCCCTAGTATATATATTAGGTAACCTTAAAGTTATATAAGTTAACTTAAACTAGAATACCTAGGCTATAGAAGTAGTACTCTAGAATACTCTCTAATTAGATATCTACCTAATATTTATCTAGGAACCTTAGATAATACTATAAGATAATATAGCTAATATATAATTAATCTTCTACTCCTCTATAATATAAATTCTCCTAATCTTTCTATAGGGCTTATATTCTTAGATAATACTCTACCTAAATAAATCTCTTATCTATATCTAGATAAATTCTTACCTAGATATCTTCCCTAGCTCTAACTATCTTACTATAGATTTAACTTATAGAGAAGATACTATCTATATAGTTAATATCTATAATAAGGTAGAATAAGGTACTCTATTCTTCCTATATATAATAGAAAGAGTTATTAAGTATAGCCCCCCTACTATACTAATAATCTATATAGGGGACTTTAATAAATACTATCTAATATAGAATCTACTCTCCCCCTAATCTTATAAAGTAGAAGCTCTATATAAATAGATTAAGAAAAACTACCTTAAACTCTAAAACTAACCTAGAGTAGAAACCTTCTTTTATATAGAAATAGAAAGGGAAATAGTTATTAACCTCTTCCTATATACTCTAATAGTTACTACTTAAGTAATTAACTAGTAGGTATAAGAGAACTCCCTATCTAACTATAATACTATTCTCTTTACTATTATATATAATAAGTTTTAAGATATACTAATACTACTACTATAGTTTAATATTAAAAAGGCTAACTAGGTCTAGTATAGATAAATTATCTAAGAAGAGTTAAATAAGATTATAAGTCTACTTATCTAAGCCCTTCCTAATAGGGTATAATATATACTTTCTAGTAGAACCTTATAAGAGGACCTAGACTAACTTAGATAATACCTTATAAAGGTAATAGAAATAGTAGCTAAATATAGTATTCTATAGGTAACTTCTAGATAGTAATAAAAACTATAGTAATCCCTACTTCTTATAGCCTTAAGAATAACTACTATATAAGTAAGGTATAGGGTATAATATAACTAAGTTATATATATATAAGTATAGAATATATATAATATAGCTATTAAGTAGGTAAAATAAGAGTACTAGAATAACTTCCTTACTAAAGAAATACCCTAGTCTATCTATAAGATAATAGTATATATAAAAGTAACCTAATCTAAGTAAATCCCCTAGATATATAACCTTTAAGATTAACTCTAAATATTATATAATAGTAAGTATACTACCTTCTATTAGAAACTCTTTCCCCTACTACTATATATTCCCCTATATAACTAGATAAACTATAAGGAAGGGCTATAGAACTAGCCCTTCCTTATAGATAAGGAAGTATAGTATATCTACTCTTATAAGATTAAAGATACTACCTCTAGGCTAGACTAGATCTACTAGAAGATAATTATAGAGGTATATAATACTTATTCTAAAAAATTTACCTAGATATACTAAACCTTCTTTATATATAGATATTACCTAGAATACTAGAGAGAAGTAGTAGGTATAATACTTAAGAAGCTAGGGAAATCTAATTATATAGACCTAAAAGTATATAGAGTTATCTCCCTACTTAACTACCTAGGAAAAGTCCTTAAATATATTATAGTAAAATATCTTAGAGTACTTATAGAAGCTATCTACCTTCTATACCTATTCTAAATAGGTAGATAACTATAGAAGTTAGTAATTAATATAGTAATAATTCTTATATATATTATCTAAGATAAGAGGAGGGTATAGTATAAGATATTAACCCTATTTCTTAATATATAAGGTACCTTTAATTATATAGCCTATAACTAGCTCTTATATATAATAGGGGAAATTAGGCTTCCTACCTCCCTCCTAGTATAGGTAAAGATATTTACTAGTAGGTAATAACTCTAGATCTTCTTTAATAGCTAATAAGAGGACCTTTATCTAATAGTTTTAGAAATTTCTTAGAAAAGCCTAGTCTTACTAATCCTATTTCTTATTTATATATAAAAACTCTTTTCCTCTTACTTAGTCTAATTCCTCTTATATATTAATAATATTTTAATTATAATCTTCTTAATAAGCTAGAAGAAAAATATATAGATCCTCTAGTAGGAAGCTAACTAGCTTTTCTTACTTAGAACCTAATATACTATTAATTTTAATAAAGATAAAATAGACCTTATCTATTTTATAAGCTTAGATAAGGCTAAGTAAGCTATAATTATACTTCTAGAAGACTATATAGTATAGCTAAAGTAACTTATCTAATAGCTTAGAATATAGTTTAATATATACCTATTATTCTAGTAGTATATAATAATTTAGAACGCCTAAGTAAAGTAATTACTTAGAAGGCTTATATAGCTAGCTAATATATAATATAGACTATCCTCTACTACTATCTAATAACTATACCTAGCTTATATATAAAGTATAGTAGATTATAGGTCCCTAGTTTTCTAGTAAGTTAGTAGCTCTAAGATACTTAGATAAATACTTTAAAATAATAGACTATACTAAATCCTAGAAGCCTTTTAGACCTCTCTAATTATCCCTATAGAAATTAAAGTAGAACTTCTCCCCCTCTATCTAAGATATAATATATTACTTTAAGTATATACTATATAACTCTTTAAGCTTAGTTACTAATACCTAGTATATATAATTATTAATAAGTTTAAATAAGAGAATATACTAGGATAATAGATATAACTTAAATATATCTAGAGTATAATTTTAGACCTAGTAATAGGTACTAAAAGCCTAATTAAATATAGTTTCTTTCCCCTATAGAAAAAGACTACTCTATATAAAGTTAAGATTAGCTACCTTCTAAAGAAATAAGAAGCCTAAGTATATATTAGATATATAGGATATATAACTTAGATAGTTATTCTATACTTTAATACTTTATCTATCCTAAAAGAAAATAGAGTAGGTATAGGAATTATAGTATATAATACCTAATAAGATAGTATAAGAGTAGTAGTAAGATATAGAGGAAATACTAGACTATACTAGCTTATATATAATAGAGAACTAGAGGTACTTATAAGAGCTATAGAGTTAGCTACCTAGAGATAGCTAGGATAATAGATTATAGTATATATAGATAACTAAGCTATACTATACTATCTCTAAACCCTATCTAACCTACTAGGTTAAGAATTATAACTTTAAGCTATAGATATAGGCTACTTAATTATAGCTAGATAAGGTAGTCTTACCTTCTTATAGACTCTAGGCTATATAGGAATTAGAGGAAACCTATAAGTAGATACCCTTATAAAGGAGGCTACTAAGCTAACTCTAGAGAATAACTACTTAAGTACTACCCTTCTTAGAATATATATATAATAAAGAACTATAGTAGAATAGATAGTATATACTATATAATACTAGGAAGTATAGATAATACTATTCTAGAGGTTATATATATATAACTTCCTATCTATACTAAGAATATCTATCTAACTCTTTAAGTATAGATAACTAGAAGTATTAGCCTACTTCTAATTAAAACTAAACTATAGCTACTTTAAAGCCTACCTATTATAGTTTAGTAAGATAGCCTAGGATAACTATAGCTATAATAATACTACCTAATAAATACTATAATATCTTATTAGTAACTACCTACTCTATAGCTCTACTAGGAAAGAAGTAATATAGGAAGCGCTTTAGATATATAATAATAATAGTAGGAATATAGCCTCTATACTCTATAGAGAGCTATTCTAAGAAGATATTAGTTAATAATTTATACTTAAATTTATATATTAGATAAAGGTTTCTACTAGGGTATAGTATATATAAAGAGTAGACTAAGAGAAAAGAAGAGTAAAAAGAAGAAGAGAGAATCTATTCTAAGCTCTATTAGTAGAGTAAATAATAAGCTCTATAATCTCTCTACTTATAGTTCCTATAGGTACTACTCTAGAACCCCTCTAACTAAAGATAATCTAGAAAGGGACCCCTTTATCTATAATCTATCTAATACTCTCTAGGCTTATATCCCTCCTCTATCTTATATAGAGCCTCTACTAAGACTCTAGCCCTCTAGATTAGGAAGGTATTAATATAACTTAGATAACTACTCTATAACTACTCTAGCTAAACCCTCCTACTTCTAATAATAATTAGATAACTATTTAGTAGTAAGGTAAGGGCTTAATACTATTTATCTATATAGTATATCTAGGCTAGGGTAGTATATAGAGCCCTATTATTAGTAATAATATTAATATATAGTTATCTAATAGTAGTAACTAGGCTAGATTAAATTATAAGTAATATTAATATAGATTAAACCTAGGTTCTTAAGTATTCTTTATTTTCTATAATAAGTATTAGCTAACTATACTAGTTAGCTAGAAGATAGATACTACTAGTTAAAAACCTTACCTACTTTTTTTACCTTTATAGGTACTAAGAAAGGTATTATATAATACTAACTAAGAATAGTACTATTAGAGATAGTACTAGAATACTATAATAGAATATATATATAATCTACCTTACCTACTACTCTATACTATATTTACTTTTCTATATATACCTTCTTTCTATCCCCCTTCCTTTTCTTACTTTTACTCTATACTATCTATCTACTTAGATAATAGTAGAAAGGCTAGTTCTTAGCCCCTCCTTATCTAAAAAAAGCCTAGATAAACTATCTATCTATACCTACTCTATACTAATATTATACTAAGAATCCTCTTATTATATAAGATTCTTTAGCTAGGTATCCCTACTTACCTTATAAATATATATAGAATTTTCTATAGATAGCTCTATCTTAGATAGCCTATAGCTCTAGTAAGATATAAAATAATTAATTAATTAATTAATTAAACCCTATAGACTCTACTTTAGGTAGTTACTTAGGCATGTTAAGCTAGTATGTAACTAGGTTGCTTCTAGCATAGGAGTTAAAAATTTGTTATAATCATTTCTTAGACGAATTAGTTAGAACAACTGGCCGCGTGGCCTAATGGTAAGGCGCTTGACTACGAATCAAGAGATTCCAGGTTCGACCCCTGGCGTGGTCATCTTTTTTGTTCCTATTCAGGACACTGAAAGGATGGCAGAGCGTTGGGCCTCTATTTTAACCGAGCGATGGACGAGAGGCGTGACAACAGTGTTGCGAGAAGACATCTTTTACGGAAAGCGCCCCTCCGCCCTGGGCTCTGCCGTGGTTAAATCTTTCTGCCCTCGTCTAGTCATCGACGTGATATTGGTAGGATGCTGGGTCTTCACCGTAGCTGTTGGACAGGACAGTAGTATTTTTTCGGGATGGCGATCTGCATAAAACACTTGTCACATATATCGAATACATCTTTTCGACTAATCCATCTGCCGCTTCTTTCAATAATCAGTGAACAAAATGGCCTGCGAGGGCATCTCTCATCGGTGGAGTGGAGGAGCGGAGCGGGGCGGGACAGACAGGCGGAATTCTGGCGAACTCCCGGCGAAGCGAACTACGGCAACATGGCCAGCAACTGATCGCATCGCACCTACCATTACAACCCCCCAACAATGCGACAACGCGCGAGATTCCATTGTCCGTGTCATAATCGCTAGTGGTGAGTGAAAGGAGTCAGTCACATTAATTTATCTCTGGGATCACTCTGACGTCTCTATAGTACCTACGCATCTCGACCTGTCCATCCGTTTCCCTCCGCATGCCTTGGAGGAACCGCATCTCATGTAACATGGATTATTCTCAAATTTGAGAAAGAAAAACTACGGTCTTGGCCCGAACGTCCTCACCAACACAATTGGGGGCCCTAAGTCCTTGTCCAGGTCTTCAGCGCAACATAAAGGCGTTTGTACTGCCCAAATGACTAAGGCTAGCAACCGAGCCCTGTGTCATGGTCCGTGGTGCCGACATTGAAGACAATGATGGTGGCTGTGGGGGAAAATATAGGACTGGAAGCCTTACAAAAGGCGGGCGTGAAACTGCTGGTAAACAATCAATGATTCTCCCGCCTTCACGAAGGGCGGTCGCCGACGTTTGTCTTTGGTAAAGAGCCTTAGTTTCGCTTTGATCTATCCGGAGACTTAGAAGCACCAGGCTTTAGTCTATTGCAGATTTGTCCAGCTGGCCCATTGTCCATCCCGTACTTCCTGTCACTACCAACTCGTATCTCCTCGTACAATTCCCGCTTTGCGACCGTCGCTTGTCCCGCCATCGCCACGCCGAAATCAAGCCTTGCGCATTGTTTCCCTTTCACTCAGGCCCTTCATTTGCCGAAGACCTTGGCAAACTCGTCTCTGTCAGGCTCTGCGACTTCCGCCCTTGCGGCGTTGTTGCTCTCCGAAACCAGCCAAAAGCTGACTTCGCAGCTGTGCAGCAGATAGTCGCCCATGACGCGGCTAAGCTCTGCCCAAAGATCGCTATTCTAAATCCTGAAATTGTCTCTGTTGACCCAGCCGCGGTCCCACCACGTCTGCAACGAAGTTGCCGCATGCTCGACCACGCACTTAGGGCTTGTAATCAGGACGACTTTCTCCCGGCCCTCGACATACCAAGCCCGGTAGTGAAGTGTCGCGAGGGCTGCCCGCAGTTGCGCACGCGTCTCAATCCTCTTGTACCGTTCTCCATCGATGCCCTCACGCTCCAACGCAAAATTCCTATTCCATACTACAGGCTCGAAGATGAAGCAGCAACCGCCAACCTCACTGCGGACGTAGACCTTTGCTAGGCCGCCAGGGTTTGTCATGTCTCCAATCGCACGACAATAAATTGTCTCGACTTTGCGGAAGTTGGAACTCTCACACGCGCCGTCAATGAAGATCGCCATAAACCCAAGGCTACCCAGAGCGGGCACGTGGCGGCGACGCAAAACGAAACGCTTGGTTGAACGTTCGGCGGAGTCGCAGCTACGGCCGTCGAAAATGTCGAGAGGGTTTGAGGTGCAGAGCTCGGAAGGAAGCGCGAAGAGCGTAACCTTCCAAGCGAATGTATCCGAGCTCAAGCACAAATCTTCTTGCTCCCTCTGAGAAAGGCCCTGGGGGACCTGGCGATGAATTCTGCGAGGGTTGTCATCAGATTCGGAGTCGTAGTCTGGATTCTTCGCGGCGCCGTCGTCAACAGCCTTGTCAGCTTCATCGCTAGCTTTGTCTACAAGGTAAGAGTTGTTGTCGGGCTTGCTAGCAGGTCCTTCGCCGCAAAGTATTCGTTAGTTTCATCGTCAGCTTCGTCCTTGTTCTCTTTAACGTAGTTCTTTAGCGGAGTGAATGATTAGAAGCGACTAAGAAGAGTAGAGAGGAGTTACCTACTATCTCTTTAATAGGAATAGTAGCTATCTTCTTAGTAGAATTATAGTATATAGGGTCTATATTAGAAGCTATATTAAGTAGAAGATATAATTTAATAGAGATATACTAAAATTAGTATAGAGAAAACTAGTCTAAGATAGTATAAAATTAGATACTATAGAGAGTTAAATTAAGTAGTATATTTAGTAATAGATATTAGATATAATCTTAGCTTATAAGGGTTTATCTACTAAAGAGGTTTTTATATATCTTTACTTATTATTATAGTTTCTAACTATTTATATTCTTAGATAGATTCTATAGTCTAAATATTAGACTTTAGTAATTCTCTATAAGATTTAGTACTATAGAGATTAGATTAAGTAAGAATAATAATATATTTAAT